TTGGTTTTGATTTGGTTTGCCTGATGGTAGAACATAAAAAAAGTTGATATTGTTACCATAAATATTACTTTCAGTCAACATCAAATGCAACCTGCAACTTCAAAAACTGGGCAGAATTGGGCAAATTTCAGCTTTAAATTTCAGATTTTATAAGCAGACATTTGTGGACTTTACTTTCCAAAAACACTGTTCCAAGTATTTGTGAGGAATTTGGAGTTTTTAGAAAATACATGTATTCATGGAATTGTCGTTCGTTTCAAGATCAGTCATTTGTATGTACTTGTGAAGTCAGATGGCTTTCTTGATCAGAAAGTTAGAAAGTTGCAGGTTACAATTCCTAAACCTGTATAACCAGCACTAGCACAGATCTTTTCAGTTAGTAACTAACCTTGGCTTCTTCACAAGTTTGTTCTTTTTCGCGTAAATTTTTCTTTTTTAATGATTTTTTTGGGAATTGCATCAAAATGCCACAGGAGTGCTTAAACTTATCAAAGGAGAGATTTGGCTCCATGGAAGTGTTTATGCACAAACGAACACGTAATATTTGTTTATGATACAAAGAATGACAGAAAATGAACATGTGTTTTTTGATCATTTGATATCACAAAACTTAACAATTCACAACGGGTGGTTTGTAGACGAACACGCGTCTATTACAGTGTGTCTCAGTGCTGATTATACACTCGTAGTGCCAGGTGCAAGATAAGTTACACTAGAGAAACTAACTACAAAGTGGGAAACAATTCCAGTAACTTATTCTGGCATTGGAATGTGAATGTCAGTTTGGATTCAATGTTGCTCTTAGAAGTAACGAATATAAGAGCTGTACTCTATCACACAGGGCAAGTTATCATTTGCACTAAATATTCTCAAAACAAATATTCCATATAGACAACTTTACAGTTTACTTTTTAAAAAATTCAATATTCTTTGGCATACCTAATAAAAGTCCAAAAAATTAGATATGCAGATTTTTCAATGCAGAAATCATTAACAATACATTATCTTGCACCGGCTTGTTAAAAATATACCTCTCAGGCAATCATTTAAAATGAAGATCTAAAATACAAATTTTAAACTTTTATCAGGGAACCAGCCCCTGTGCACAAGGTGTTAAACACTTTGATGATCAAGTAGTGTAGAAAAATGTAATTGAAATGAAACAATCTAATTCAAATAATT